CTGAAACTTAACCCTCCATAGAATTGTATACAGATATGAGTGGTTAATATGAAGCTGGTGAGTATTCATAAGGTAATTAACAAGTTTTTAAACCTTGGAATCTTGAAATAAAATGTATAGCAATGTCTACCCACAAAAGTCATGCCCTGAGAGTTACCCAAGATGAGGAAAGAGTATCTTTAAAGTAGGGAGGGTTGTTTTAAATAAAGGGATAGCCTGAAGAAAAACATTTATGGGTAGAAGAGTCAAAATCAGAGTGATATCAAGAAGGAAAGCGGGCTTGGAATGAACTAGATAATGAAGAAACATCTGGCATCCTTATGGAGTGTGCATTAGCATCTCTGGCAGCTCATTTGTCAAGCTTGACTTTCACAAAACAATGATCATATATTATTAGAGTTTGGGGAGCAGGAATCTCAGAATACAGGGTGGAACTGTTGGGGGCAATACTGTGCAGTTTTTAAATTTTTTAATTGATACCTAATAGATAGACATATTTTCAGGATACATGTGATAAATTGATATATGTATGAAGATCAAACCAGGGAAATTGGGGTATCCATCATCTTAAATATTTGTCTTTTCTTTATGCGAGGAATGTTCAAATTTTTTTCTTCTAGCTATTTTGGAAAGCGCAGTACACCATTGATAACTATTGCCACCCTACTGATCAAACTCCAGGTTTTATTTCTCTGGTCAAACTGCATGTTTGTACTTGTTACAGCCTTTTATCTCCCCTTTCCCACCACCCTTCCCAACCCCTGGTACCTACCATTCTACCCTCTATCTTTATGAGATATACTTTCTTAGCTGCCACAAATGGATGAGAGCATGTGATACTTGTTTTTCGATGCTTGGCTTATTTCACTTAACATAATGACCTCCAGTTCCTTCCATGTTGCTGCAAATGACAGATTCCATTCTTCTTTACGGCTGAATAACATTCCATTGTGTGTATGCATGACATTTTCTTTATTCTACTGTTGCTGGGCACTTAGGTTGATTCCATATTTTGTCTATTGTGAATAGTGCTGCAATAAGCATGGGGTTCAGATACCGCTTTGATTTATTGATGTCCTTTCTATTGGAAATGTACCCAGTAGTGAGATTGCTGGATCCTATGTTTACTTTCTGAGGAACTTCCAGTTTTCCATAGTTGTTGTACATAGAATGTACTTACATTCCTACCAGCAGCGTACAAGCGTTCCCCTTCTTCACATCCTCACCCATAATTATTATTCCCTTTTAGATATGTCATTTTAACTGGGATGAGATTATATGTCACTGTGGTTTTGATTTGCATTTCTCTGATGACTAATGATATTGAGCAACTTTTTTTGTATACTTTTGGCTTTTTGTATATCTTCTTTTGAGAAATGTCTATTCAGATCTTTATTGCCATTGATTTGTTAGAGCTCCTTATATATTCTGGTTATTCATCCATTGACAGACGGATAGCTTGCAAATATTTCTCCCATTCCATGGATTGTCTCTTCATTTTGTCAGTTGTTTCCTTTGCTGCGCAAAAGCTTTTTACCTTCACATGATCCCATTTGTCTATGTTTGCTTTGGTTGCCTGTGTATCTAAGGTCTTACACAAAACTTATTTCCCACGCCAATGTCCTGGAGTGTTTCCCCAGTGTTTTCTTCCATTAATTTCACAGTTTGAGTCTTAGATTTACATCTTTAATCTATTTTGATTTAATTTTTGTATATGGTGAGAGATAAGGGTCTACCTTCATTCTCCTGCATATGTTTGACCCAGTTTGTTCAATACCATTTAGTGAAGAGACTGTCCTTTCCTGTTGTATGTTTTTGGTGCCTTCATAAAAAATGAGTTGATTGTTATGTGGCAATTTATTTCTTGGTTCTCTATTCTAGTCCATTAGTCTATGTGTTTGTTTTTATGACAGTGCTGTGCTTTTTTGGTTATTATAGCTCTGTAGTATAGTTTGAAGTCAGGTGGTGACTATAACTCTGTAGTATAATTTGAAGTCAGGTAAAGCCTCTAGCTTTGTTGTTTTTGCTCAGGATTGCTTTTGTTATTCAGGGTCTTTCATGGTTCTATATACAGTTTAGGATCATTATTTCTTTTCTGAGAAGAAAATTATTAGTATTTTGATAGAGATTGCATTGAATCTATAAATTGCTTTGGGTAGTATTGACACTTTAAAAATATTAATCCATGACCATAGAATATCTTTCCATGTTTTTGTGCCCTTGTCAGTTTTTTTCATCAACGTTTTAAAGTTTTCACATTTTTGGTTAAAAAAATTCCTGAGTATTTGATATTATTTGTAGCCATTGTAAGTGGAATTGCTTTCTTGATTTCTTTTTTAGATTGTTCCCTGTTTGCAAATATAAATGTTACTGATTTTTATATGTTGACTTTGTGTCTTGTAACTTTACAGAATTTATTAGTTCTAACAGTCCTTTGGTGGAGTCTAGTTCTTTCTAAGTATAAAATCATGTTGACTGTGAACAAGGCTAATTTGACTTTTCCTTTCCAATTTGAGTGATACTTACTTCTTTCTCTTGCTGAATTACTCTGTCCAGGACCTAGTATTATGTTAATAAAAGTAGTGAAAGTGGGCATCTCTGTTTTGTTCCAGATATTAGAGGAAAGCCTTTCAATTTTTCCCTGTCCAATATTATGGTAACTGTGGGTTTATCATATATGGCCTTTATTATTTTGAGGTATGTTTCTTCTAAACTCAGTGTGTTGAAGGTTTTTATCATAAAGAACTACTGAATTGTATTGAAGGGTTTTTCAGCATTGATTGAGATGATTATACATTTTTTATTCTTGGTTCTGTTAATGTGATCTATCACATTTATTGATTTGGGTATGTTGAAACATCATTGCATCCTTGCGATGAATCCCACTTGATCATAATGAATGATCTTTATAATGTGTTGTTGAATGACACACAATTGGAGAGCCTGTACTAGCAGTCACTTCAGCTTACAGGTGTGCTTTTTTAACAGTAGTTTCTAGAGCACTGTCTTTTGCTTATGGCCTCATAATTGTCTTCAATGATGATAACTGTTTTCCAGAGGGACTTTTCAGCATCCTGCAGCATTCTGCAAATTTCACACTATCTATAATAGTTCTTATCAAACTGTTGGTCTCAACTTTTGAGTGAGTTATGAAATCAGTTCCAGGAGTCTCTGAACCATGTTTTAAGGAATAGAATATAACAATACAGAGTAACTAGAAGCAAATTAAATTTCTAATTTTATACATATGTATTTATATGGTTCATTTTCTATAAAATGCATTCATTGCTTGTTTGAGAGATTATTCCCGGTATAGTGAATTTAAAAATTTTTTTTCTTATTTTAGGTGTCAATGACATGAAATTTTTCACTGCAGATGTTCAGAGAGCTAAAATAAAGGGTCAGGCCTGTGTGTAGCAACTGATACACATGTGATACCAGTAATGAAACTTCTTGACTTAATGGTAAATAATTATCAAAGTTGATGTTAGCCCTTGCTGTGCTCTGAATTTGGGGTTATTAACAGAGTTTAATCTGGAGTGTAATTCCGACGTTCAGGTTATCAAGGACGGGGTGAATTGTGGGCTGCACTTGGCAGATGGAACTCATGAGGTTTGCTCCCAAAGGTCTCAGAGCTATGAGTGGGGAAGCAATTGACCTGAATTAAAACCGGAGGTGCAGGAAATGCAGGAAAGCTAGCTTTCCTCAAAGAGATACATCAATCCTTGAATGATTCAGCTCATTTGGCATGAGCTGAGTGTCTCACGCCCAAGCACATAGCTTTTGGGCCTTTCTAGTAAAGATTCTGTCCATAATAGGTTCGACACTGACCCTGCCATGTTCTCAGACCTCTGGGAGGTCTCTGGAGACAACTTCACACTGAGAGCATCCATCAAGTACAGGAGGCCCCTGGGAACCATAACTTGCTCACTTCAAGAGCTAATGCCTTGTGGGGACATCTTGATATTGCTATTGCTTGGCAGAAGAGCAAACCACAGCTCTTCCCCCAGAGACTCTACTCAGCAATCATTTCCATCTATAAAGAATTTTTTATAGCTGTGCTGGAGACATAGAGGGAAGCTGTGAGGCTACTATAGAATTTCCAACTTAGAATAACAACAGTAGAGTCTCCTACCTTGAAGCATTCTTATTTCAGCTCAGTCGACTTCACAACGGCATTACTTGCCTGTTTTGCAGAGTATTTAAGGCATGCAGGGATTAAATGACTACCTTGAGGTAATGTGGGTAGTTGCATTTTAAAACATGTTGAAGAGTGATTTTGATTCACATATGGCATTTTACAAGAGGGTGATTTTAGCTGGTAGAAAACAAGACATTCTGACAGTGGGTTGCATATCCTGTTGTTCTGTGAGGAAGAGACCTGAAAGGTTTTGTCTGAAATAACTATGTGATTCATGGAAATGGCGTTTTTCTTAGAAGGTGAAATTGCATAGTTTTGGTGGGGACAGAGATTATGCTTAGTACACAGGAGGAGTTCAACATGTTTGTTGAATGAAATGAACAAAATGAATAGCACTGTCCCTTATGCAGCAGCATACTCACTTACCAGGCATGCATGCCGAGTCTGTCTTCCCAGGGCTGCTGATGTGCTCTTCTTGCTGCTGATGCTTTATCTTACCTAGTGTCCTCGTGGATTGGGAGTAGGCAGGGTAGAATCCAGCCACTGTCTGTGATAGTCAGCAAAGCAAACCAGCGATGGTGTGAACCCATGACTGGCGACTTAGCACCATATCAGGCAAACGTGAAAGAAATATTTAAAACTTCCGATTACTTCTTAAAGCTGTTTTATGTGAGAAAGGAAGTTACGGCATGTGTATCCAAAAATAAATGAAGAAAAAAAGATTTTGTACATGTTGCAGGGCTAGAACATGGAATTGTTTTCTACACCAATTTATAGAAGTGCTTGCAGCCAGACTGTGTACTGATAAATTGGAACTGAATGTATTCTCATGACATTTGCTTTACCCTTTTCCACAGAGTTGCTGGAGCTCTGAGATGCAGAACGTAGAACGATACTGAAGTATGGACTGGGTCTGAGCTGCCGCACAGCTTTGAAGAAAGTCTGAGGCACCCTGGAGAGAGACCCGGGCTTTCAGTACCCTTCTCAGGCCCCCAGCCCTTCTAGAGCTTTCCTCGACGAGATGTGTCAGCTTGCCCTGCACAAGATTTTGCCTTGTCCGGGATCATAGACCAATGCTAAGTGGCAGCAGCAAGCCCTTAAGCAGATTCCTATTGAGGACATTCCTTACTCTGTTTCCTTGCCATGCCACAGTGTTACTGCCGCGTCCTTGTTCTTGAAGCTCCCAAGATGACGACGAGCCACTTCCAAGATGGCAGCAAGCCTCATGTTCTCTGACCTGGGGTTCTTGGCCTCATGGATTCCAAGGAATGGAACCTTGGGCCATACTGTGAGTGTTATAGCTGTATTAGAAGCCATGGGTCACGGAAGAGAACCATGGAACCCAGTGACTAGTGTTCAGCTCGATTAGGAGGAACCCCGCACTTACCCATGCAGGAACAATAGCGAACCTTCAGCCGGATCCAAAGTGGCAACCGGCGCCTCCCTGGATCAGAAATGCAGTGGACACCCTGCCGGATCTGGAGCGGGAACATCAACGGCAGGTCTGGGATGGCGGTGAACAGCAGTGGTGGATGGTGAGCAAAAGCTCATTTTGAGACGTAACAAATGTGGACCAGAAGCGTGTGCAGTTGCAAGTTTTAACAGAGTGAAAACAGAGCTCCGTAGAATGGGAGGGGACCCAAAGGGGGTTGCCGCCTTGCCGGCTCCAGTGCCTGGGTTTATATCTGACCATTGTCCCTTCCCCTGTACTCACAGGCGATAAGTGACTGGCCGGCTCCAGTGCCTGGGTTTATATCCGACCATTGTCGCTCCCCTGTGCTCACAGGCGATAGGTGACTGGCTATTTCTTTACCTTCTGTTTTTTGCCTGATTAGCATTGTAGTGCGCTCTCTTTACTCCCTGATTGGTTGGGTGTGGGCTGTTGTAAGCCCCGTGTTTAAAGGTGGATGCAGTCACCTTCCCAGCTAAGCTTAGAGATTCTTAGTTGGCCCAGGAAATCCAGCTGGTCCTGTCTCTCAACAATGCCCCAGCTCCTGCTATTGGGTGTTTTTGTGGTGGCTTAAATGGCGTATTTCAAAACTTACCTGGACCCGGTGGTCCCAGAGGAAGCTGCTAGAATTCAATGTGCTTCCGCAAGTGGGAGCCACTTTCTGGTCTTCTTGACTCAGCGGTCCCATTCTAATTCTTAACCTCCAACGCCAGCTATCTTCAGCATACTGCAAACTTCAGCAAACTAATAAAGCCAAGACCGCTAACCTGTCAGGAATCTTTCTGCAAATCCGAAAAAAGCTCTGGGAGGGCAGAGGGCAGTGTCTTGTGCACTTAGAGAATGCCTTCATGTATGTATCTGTATTATGCAGTTTTCTTAAAGGCGCCTTTTTCTCTGGAAAGATCCAGCCCCATCCCAGGCTACATGACTTGAAAGGCAGAGAAGTGTTGAATCTCGGCCCCACTCACTCCTCAGCCAGGTGCCTATGTGCATTAGACCACGTATTTGACTACACAAATGGCTTATGCCCATTTTAAAAAGTATTTTTTTCTAGACAGCTTTCTAGTCCAGAAATTGCTCTAACACCCTACTTTATGTTTACCTGAATCTTGGCTTAGCACAGAAGGAGCCAGGATTTATAGGCAGACCTTCTAGATGTCAACAACAGTTGAAGTATGGAATTTTAACATCATCTAGATTTAGCAGATAATGTGTTTCTATTGGCCTGATGTCATTTGTACCATTGTTTTCACACAGGCATCCCTATTATAACCAAACCCAATGCCTAGACAGTGCCTGGCATATAAGAGAGATACAAGAAAAAAGTTGTGGGCTCAGTTAACAAGCCATTGCATCACCCACCATCAATGCCCTCCTGCTGACCAAAAACCAGACTTAAAACTTCTCCCATGTTGACCACGTCTTGCTACCAGGAAAATCACACTATTCGTCCAACAAATCCTAAGATATAATAATAAAGATGAAAAGTCACATTAAAACGTATTACTACAATGAGGATATCAATCTCCATGCACTTAAATACTTGAAAAGAGATAATGTAATGTGTATGAAAAAATATTCTACTGAATGATTTTTGACGCAGTTGATAAGTTATTTTACCAGAAAGAGTAAGAATGGCATAATCATCTATAGATACCACAGTACGTATAATTCTTTATGACATGGTTAATAACAGTGCAGTTGATCCTGGGAAAATATGCACGAATTGTGTGCAGCTTGCCAGCCATTATTCCCTCAAACCTTTATACTTGTGGCTTGTTAAACATCTTATAATCCCTTGTGGTTAACTTGTTAAATCAATTTTTTTCGTGTTTCTTTTGTGGCCTCCTTTTTAAATTTTCATGTTTATACAACCAGGGGGTCCCTGTTGTGAGGACGGCACGGGAGAGATGACTGCCTTCCAGCCTAAGGGATTGTGTGCACTGAAGACAGCCACGGAAAAGCATCCTGGGAAAAGCATCATTGCGTGGAATAGAACATTTCAACAGCTCAAACACACTGGCAATGCTCCAGGAGAGGAATGACTGTTTCCTTCCCAGACATGTCATTTTGTATTAGCAGAAGCTGGACAGCTTGAGAATTATTGCTTGTATATCTGGAATTAAATTTCTAGCTCTCCGAATGCTCATCCTTTACAGCAGTGCCATGTTCTCGGAAGTTTAGCCAGTAATGGTGTTTCCTGCTGCAATAAATACAAGTTGGGGAAAGTTCGCCACATCCACTCTCCTTCTTTATTGAACATAATGAATGATCACCCATTGCATGGATAACAAAGCAATCAGGAAAGAAAACCTTTCTTGTTCTTTTTTGGCTCAATGAAAGGCAGTACACATGCTTGCTAACAGCTATATGGCCAAAGAAAACACTCAAACCTGCGGGTTTGTTCTTGCTTGGGGAGCAGGAGAAGTCAATGCCATGAAGCCATTCTAAAGTGGATCGGGTGAGTTGGATACATTACAACAATTAATAACAGGGATGGTGAATGATGTCCCTCAAGAACATACATGATTCTTTCCTCCACCAACTTGTCTTCAGTCTTTCCATTGAGATAAAAATCGGTTACTTATATGTAGAAAAAGACAGGGAGGAGCTCATAAAAAAATAAAGTGGTATTAGAATCCAAAATAAATAAAAAAGACAGAATATGAACCAAGTCTTGTACCAATGTTAAATACACGAAATGAGGCTGTAAGTCTGTGACTTCAGTAAGAGGCATGCAGGAGCATTTGAGTTTGGTCTTAAAGAGCAGAAAGCATTTTGTCATGTAGAAATGGAAAGAGTGCCTCAGGCAACTGAAATAGTACACAACTAGGTAAAGAGGGAGAGACGCCTTTGAGGGCATAATTCGGCTGTGTAGACAGGGCATGTGGATTCAGTCTACGGGGAGCAGGCTGTGTATACAGGGCATGTGGATTCAGTGTACGGGGAGCAGGCTGTGTAGACAGGGCATGTGGATTCAGTGTGCGAGAGGCAGGCTGTGTAGACAGGGCATGTGGATTCAGTGTATGGGGGAGCAGGCTGTGTAGTTGGGGTGTCTTGGATTCAGTCTCGCAGGAGCAGGCTGTGTAGACAGGGCATGAATTCAGTGTGCGGGGGAGCAGGCTGCATGGGCAGGTGTCTCTGCAGTTGAGTGTACGGGAGCAGGCTGTGTAGACAGGGCATGGATTCAGTGTGCGAGGCGGGCTGTGTAGACAGGGCATGTGGATTCAGTGTACGGGGAGCAGGCTGGCGATGCAACTGCGTGATGAGCACAGTGCAGGCTGAACCAGCAGAAGAGCTCAGGCCCCCTCTAAATAGAAGCAGTTTTAAAATTCCTGCTCAGGTTTGCCATTTAATATTTCAGAGGATACAGACAAGGTATCAAAAGAAGTGTCAGGATCAGATTTTTATGTGAAATTTTATTTGGATACTGGGTTTTGTTTTCTTTTGTTAGAAGAGTCTATCATTGCTTGTTGCCAGCATACCAGTCTTCACAGCTGAGGGTGCACCTGGCACTTCCTGCAGTGGTGGGGTTGTATAGCATGCACCACAGAGCTGCACCACCGCGCAGCTCCTGACCTATCCACGCGACACAGCACTCCGCAGATGCCTCTTGTTCCTGGTCCTCCAGGAGTCTCCTCACTAACCATTTCCGGCTGTCAGTGCCTATACGGGGCCACTGTTTGGAAAAATGCTGAGACCATTTGAACCCAAATTTCTTACTTAATGTTTCATTAATGTGTACTTTATACACCACAAATATCATCAATTATAAGCATAAAATTTGATAAGTTTTGACATAAAAACTCAGTTGTATATTCACCATTACGTTACAGAAAGTTCCTTCCTTATGCTTGAAAAAATTCATTTTAAAAAGAAAGGCTACGGTGGCCCTGTGGAATACACTCCCAGGCTTTCAGTGTGAGACCCCTTCTGGGAGCCATGATCAACCCTGGGCTTTGGGTAAGGCAGCTGGGGAGTGGAGGATTCATGGAAGGCACACTTTGGAGGAGGAGATCTAGAAACTTTGTTAGCGTGTGTGATGGGATGTAATAGCAATCAATTACATATCAATAACTAGGGTAAATTTTCAACATTATTGTTGATAATAGAAACTGATGAGTTACCTACACAAATAATAATTTTTAAAAAGTAAATTTTTGTTGTGATTCTATAAAAATAATGCTGTTTACCCGAACTGATCCATGTTCCTCACCATTTATGCAAGATTATCTTGCAGAAGCATAGCAATTATATATATCATTAATGTGGTCAGGGTTCTTGAGTGAATTCTATTTCATTGGCATTAAGCACATTCTTCAGTGCTAAAAAATGAGGTAACAAATTTAGCACATTGACAGGGTTCACTGGGGTAAAATAAGATTTTTGTAAGTTGACATTGTGTGTATTTTCCTCAGCCGATGTAAATACTACACAAAGCGATGGCAATGAGGCTTCTGCAAGGTATCAGTACAGCCCAAATGACTGAGTGCATGGCATTTTCTACATTTTAAAAATTTTAAAAATTACTTCTTGAATACTTGTTATGCACTTTTCCCATACCAGGTAGTGGAGATGTAATAGAGATCATTTCTATTTCCACTGAGCTTTAAAACTTGGTGGAAAGAAAACTGACTTCAATCAAATAATGCTACCAAGATATAATGTAAGTGATAAGTGCAAAGAAGAAGAAGCGTTAACTGTAGAGCGTCTACACTGGGGAATCCTGGTACACTCTGGAAAATGCTGAAGCGTGTCTTTGAGAACGTGGCGTTTGAATTGAAATCTCAAGTTCAGGGACTAGGAATGACGATCTGAACCAAGGGAAGAGCTTTTTCCAGGATGGGGGTTGGGACCATGTGAAGCCCTGGGGAAGATGGAAGATGGTGAATGTGAGCTGAGGTGAGTGGAGAGAGAGAGGACAGAGACAAGGCAGGCAGAGCAAACGCTTGATCCTGAGGGACATCGGAGGCCATGCTGTGAACTTGGCCCTTTCTTTTATCTGCAATGACCTGTCTGAGAGATTTCATGCAGAAGAGTAGCACGAGTGCCTTTGGAAATGGCCATCAGGCGGCCATGTGGTTCCTATTGCTTGGAAGACAACAGGACACCGCTTGGAAGCAACTCCAGGTAAGACACAGGGCTCAAGACGATGTTTTGATTGATCCTACCGTCTACCAATAGGTATCAAGGACTCCTGACGTTTCAGGTATGGCTCGGGGGTTGAGACAGAGCAGTGGGAAAATGACAAAGGCCCTGCTGTTCATTCTACTGGGTGCGTCAAGGGCTAAGAAGGTCAGTCACAAAGGATAATGTGGGAGAGACAAGAATGGAACAAAAAAAATGACAGGAATCAAAGTAGATCTATGCATTTACACTGGGGAAAAGTCAATGTTCTGAGGGGAAAGGAGAACACAACAGTGAACCTTACTCTGAACCAGTGTCAAACAGTTAGCAAAGTGTAGAAATTAGCTGATTTTTTTTTCGCATGTGTACCCCTTAAGAGCAGGAGGGGAATTTTATTAGAACCCCCTTTTCTAGACGGATAATGGCCAAGCTGTTCATTTTCTGTGATGTGCAGTTCTGTAATCTTTCAAATGATCATCAACTCTACATCTAGCCTACAGATTCACAACTGAAGCACGGTAAATATGGAGCACCTGAAAGTGCAGAGCTGCCATGTTTACTGAAGCACTTATTACATAAAAATAATATTTGTTATTCAATTGTGTTCTAAATTTGAACATGGCACACACAATTCTGGTTATATTAACTACTGGAGTTAATGAAAATGAAGGAAGTCTACCTAAACTGATATGTGAGAAATTAAAAGCAGAATAAACACCCACTCACAGTGAGTGGCAGGTATTCTAATACTTTCTAATGTACTTTCATAGAATGTTTACAGAAATAGAAATGACTAAGATTCATTTTTGAAGACAATTTTGTGGCTAATGGAAGTAGTTAATTTGTAATGTTTGATAATCTAGAGCTTTTTAATCTTAGAGCTTCACTAAGTAACTTATATATCATGAATCCTAAATGTTCACTAAGTAACTTATAACACAATTATCACACTTATAACAATTCATTGTTATAAGTTACATAGTGAACATTTAGGATTCATGATTGACTCTCTTGAAACTGTCCTGGATAGTTCAATCCTGGAGCCATTTTTTTTTTCCTTGATATTTACATTTCTTTAGTTTTCATTTGAGACGTTTTAGATTTAATAGTTAACAAAAATCTGTTTGCCTTTATCTTATGTAGGTTGTTTGTTCTTCATTTGAATGAAGATGTTAAGACATTTTGTTTTACATTTATATATTTCATAACTGAAGTATTCTCAGGATATGTCATTAATGAAGACAACAGGATATTTTAAAATAGAATAACGTGAAGAAAGGAGGTGTTAACCAATTGATGGCCATGGTTATTCAGTACCAAAACCTTATTGTTTTCCAATTTATCCTATAGAACTGCTTGAATGATTAAATCACAGTTGCCAGATATCTTCTGCTGACATTCACAGAGCCGCGATATGGCAGTGCAGTTTTTATAGGGAAACACCCAAAGTCTCATCATGACACAATTAATCCTTTCATTTCACTTCATGACTAAGTGTTCCCATTTAATTTGACTCTAGCTCAAAAAGACTGATTAAGCAACAGTCTATGATTAGCTTGGTGATAACACAATCTATTTGTGTCACATTTATGTGATTTCAGTAGAACAGGATTTTGGATAGAAGAAAGTAATTTGCTAAGAAAATCTAGACTCAAAACTGGAAAAAACAGACAACATTGTAAGAGGTTTCTGATGGTCATAGAGTGTGGCTGAATAGGGAACGTGGGCATGAGGGCCCCACCTCCACAGCATCCTACCCCTTAGATCTGCTGACTTTCCACAGATGTTAATTCAGGGAAAATTGTACTGATGCTTATTCAGTTTTTAAAACATCCTTGGGAAAATAATAATGAGTAAACATCAGGGATTTCTTTTAAAACTCCTCCATGCACAATTAAAAATATAATTTTGCAAAGCCCTTTCACATCTGGTATGTCTGTCATTGGCATTATCTTATATGATCTCAAAGGCAGATTTAATTTCTGTATTTTACAAGTAAGCCAATTAAGGCACATAGATTTTCAAGGATTTACTTTGATTGACTTTTTTAGAAGGTGTTCTAAAATTATACCACAGTTTCTGAAGTACAATTTTAAACTTTTTTTTTAAACTATGTTTCCTGGTGTGGTGGATTTATTTTTTAAGACTGCAAATTAAAGTTTCACTTGGCCTTATTCTCCAAATTAGATTTTAGATAGATAGATTGTTATTTGTCAACCCAATATCATTGTCTTTTTCTTTTTTATGCATCTGATATAAACAGAACGTTTCATAATCATATTCTAAACTCTTGTGGGTAGGGGTGACCCCTGTGTCTGAGTTCTGGCAAATGATCGATGTGCAGAAGCAGTGCGTGAACCATCTCTGAAGGCTGCGGCAGTGCTGGCTCAGGAAGAGGGCAGCTGTTCTGTGCTTTTCCTGTCCTTCCTTTTCGCTGCCTGGAAAGCAGAATGATAGCAGTGTTTCTGGCAGCTGTCTTGGGCCATGGCACAATCTCGTGAATGAGAGTCATATGCTGAGGGTTGAGGGGAAAAGTAGGAATGAAGGGTCTTGTTTTGTTGGAATTCATGAAACCTCTGTGTCACCTTTGAGCTGTATTCTGCCTGAATTCTTTTACGTGAGAGGATAACTTTGTGTATTTAAGCCAGTATATGGATTTTCTTTTATATATAGACCACTCAAATTCTAACTGATATTAAACAAGTATTAGAGTATTAAGGTATTAGAAACATGGAATTAGCCTTTTGGGCATAAAAGTGTTAATATCGCTAAAGTTGGCTTTTACATAGAGGGAAAATGGTTTGTTTTTATCTATTCACTAATAAATCGGATACATATCAATTTTTGTGTGCTTATCAAATATTCTAAACAAACTAAAAATCTTATTAGATGTAAAAAAGCTTTTAGTCTGAATGAGCTAAGCTTATTTATTTATTTTAATAAGAAGTTTTGGTGGTATGTCTATATAGTGATAATAAATATAACATTTTACCCATAGTCCAATGAAAACTGAGATACTCTATTGCAGAACAAATTCTGAAACGAGGAAGGCAAATGAGTTACTTCTTTTCCCGAACCTTCAAGTGTGTGACTTGAACCCGGGATCTGTGGGCTTCAGTTTTCTCAGTGACGGAATCAGAGAGTGAGTCTTAAAAGTGTGTAACTTCACTTTTAGTTTCCAAATTATGGGTAAATACTATTATGAGAAACTTTATATCATATAATCATTAGATTTGAAAGAAAAAAGATATTATTGAGTAATAAAATCTAGTCTCTATATTGATTTGATTATTGTTTAATTTTGCACAGACTCTGTACCTATGGAGGAAATGAAATGGCTTTTGTTGTAGGCAGATATTTATATTATTTTAAACTATAGGGATTTGCAGTAAATAGAGGGATTATAAATATGTATGTGGGAAAAGACGATATTAAAAGAAATAAAGAACTACTGAAAGATGAAAAGGGATAATAAACTTTTTAAAAAATCTAGCATGCTTAACAGCATATGTGATAGATGAATCAGATATCAGGAAAGTCAAGAATGGTGAAGCTTGTGAAAGAAAAGGGAAGGTCCTGTTTCAGAAAAAACAAGAATAATGAGTAGTTTCAAGAGCTAGGATATCATCCAAATGAAGCTGCCTGACTCCACCCCTGGCTAGGAGTGTGACTTTGTGACAAATACTTAACCTTCCTAAGCCTTAGTAGTTTCTTGATAATCATGATCTCTAATGAAAATTTTCTGTGGTACTTGCACAAACTTGGTCTTTAAAAGCATCGCTCCATTGTTATGAATTTCTCCTGACACTGAAAACAGAAAGGTAAAGAAGGAAGAGTTCTGAATAGGCCAAATAGACAATACCCCTATTTTAGGAGATAAAATTGACATTTACCTATAAAACCCCCATTCTTTATTAAACAACCTTTTGTGTTCAATTTTCATATTTTTCCAGTTCACCACCTTTCCCACTTCTTTGAATTTGTCAATGTAAATGAAAGAAAAATTGTTTTGTTTAACTCAAATCCAGTTAATGAGAAATACCATGTAAGAATGAAGGATATAAAATTTAGCTATAATATTAAAAATCTACGAATCACATATCATCCTGCCTTGGCTCTCGTAAAATGTATTTTCAAAAAATCAGTGTGGAAAGCCATTTACATTATTTCTAGTGAATTTGTAAGTCACTCAACAATCAGGCAATTATCTGCACTGTAGAAAAATTACAATATGATAAAGCATATACTGAACAGACGTCAGTAGCACTTCATTTCAAGGTTCTCAAACACAAATGCTCATAAAATATTGTAGGATTTGTAGTATAGGAAGCTACACAAATTGAAATGCAAACGTATAAGAAAGCACAACTAAGGAAATAACATGGTTATGCAAAGATGGGTGACACAGTTTAGACGTTTGCTTTCTTTCTTTGTTTTTTATTAAAAGTTCCAAAATGGACTAATTTCCCACTAAAGCCAAACCCAGTTCATTTTACAGATGAACTCTTTAAAATGAAAGATAAATGGTAAACCATTCTCTCAAAATTCCATTCTGCAGAGGCTCTGAGCACCAACTGTCTGTCTGAGGTACACTTTAGTTTTTAAATTGAGTTAAAAGTAATTTTAAAAATGTGATTTTTGAGAATACATTTTACAAGAGCCAAAGCAGGATGATATGTGATTCTGGGATTTTTAATATTATAGCTACATTTTATATCCTTCATTCTTACATGGTATTTCTCATTAACTGGATTTGAGTTAAACAAAACAATTTTTCTTTCATTTACATTGACAAATTCAATGAAGTGGGAAAGGTGGTGAACTGGAAAAATATGAAAATTTAGACAATGGCACATTAATGGAGTTGCTGGAATGGTCTGAGAAATGCAGAACTCTGAATAGTGTTGATTATTATTTTTGAAGGTTTTTATTTTGTTGGGTTTCATTCTGTTTTTGCTAAAAGCTGGGGCTTCCACAAATGACTTTAGGAAAGTTGGAACTAAATTCTTTATGCTAAAAATGAGAATCTGAAGTTTAAATGTGAATAACTTGTATGACAACATCCAAGGGCATAGGATTCAGAAACACAATGAGGTCATCTCAATAACTCAAACTGTTAGGAAGTTTTTTTTTTTTTTCCATTTTTACCATAATAATTTTGGGGAGGACATGCTGCCTGATTAACCTTGATGGTTAAAGCACATTTCCAAAAGTGCTTTTGTAAGTAACATGTCTACTTAGCGGAGTCTAAAAGACAGGCAATCACTGTAAAATTTTTTTTCTAATGAATGCCCTGTGTTCAAATTCTTTGTTTTAACAGGGTTGGGCTTGTTGTTATTCATTGCCTGGAATGCCTCTGCTATGAATCAAAGCAAGCGCCATGAGAATGGCCGAATTCAGCTGGGGAGGAGCCCACTGTGTGGGTTTCCATGTGGATAGTCATGCCTTTGCAGCCTTTAGGAGGTCATTTACTGCAGGAGATTCTAAAATGAACCTGATACGGAAATCAGAGGAGGTAGTGTGGACTCCATCTTCTGTAATGAGAAGCATGTACATCCTCAGGGTCATTGCCTTCTATGGGAACTGGGAGGGGAACTAAGAAAACAAGCAAACAAAGGTGACCAGCAAATACAGCGGAGACAAACTCTGTTCTTCTTTGTCTGTTTAGCAACACTACCAGATCTGAAGAATTGAGCAAAAGCACTAGCTTATATGGGAATAAAATAACATTTTTCCTTTGCTAGGTTCTATTTTTCTTTAGAGCCACTTAACCAGATACAGCATAGTAAATACAGCAGTTCAAGGGGAAGATGGTAAAATAAAGGACAACAAAACTCCGAATATTTGCAGTTTATTAAATGGCACATTTTGAAAAGTGTGGCTTACAAGATATCCAAGAAATTAACTTTTTCCATGTGGTGACACATGCCTGATAATGTTGCAGCATTATATATGGTTTGGGTTACCTGTATCTATTCATGTTTAAATGTGTAGAGCATTTCCTAAGAAGCAAGCAGGCTTGCTAAATTCTTAAT